AAAGGTATGAGAGGCTGCCTTATTACATATTTTAGTCCAGATAGGAAGCGGTGACACTTCTTTTCCTCATTTGGTATTAGGTGAGGGGCATATCTGGACAACATAGTGAACTCTGCTTTATACTGTAAAATATAACGATCTCTCTGAACTATTCTATTAAACTTTCTTGTATTTGTCTCCTGGCTGATATAGGCACAAACCAATCTCTGAATACTTTCACAAACTTTTTCTAGGAGACTTGACTGCTAGATCGCCCTCCAAATGTCTCTTGTAGCTTGCTCCGCCACAACCTTTCTGCCTCACCATCAGAGGCATAAGCAGTGAGAGTAACATTCCTATTCTTAGGGCAAGACATGCCCTCCAAAATCTTCTCTATTTTCATCAGTCAATTCTCAACCTCTAAGGGTTCACCACTTGAAAATAACGGAGACTTCATATCTTGAAACAACTTTAAGTTCTTATCCATAGAACTACTCCCACTACCACTAGCTTGAGTCTGTGAGTTCTTGATCATCTGAGTCATCACTGCCATCATCTGAGCAGATGACTCTATTGTGGCATTGCTGCCACCTCTTGGAGGATCTGCTACAGCAGGTAACGCCCTCCCAGCTTTACTAACATTGCCCTCAGTGGCAGTAGGCTCAAGGTTCATTGTTAGTAGCTCCAACTCTTCTTCATTCTCAATGCAATCAATGGCATTCTGCTCAAGATCCATATCCCTGAGACGAAACACAAAATCTTAAGTAAAAAAATCATAAAATTTACATTTCCTATACATTCTAAGACCCATACAATTATCACATAGGCTCTTTCATATTGATCAGTATTCTTAATCCTCTGTCTTTGATACCACTCTTGTTACGATCTGGCCCGACTAGCCTGAAATAATGGAACGGGAACAGACGGTCGTACGGAGAACACTTATAACTTTCATATCATAAAAGTTATATTTTATAAATGACATAAACATAAATATCATCCAATAACAATGTAAGAAAGATCCATTAAACATCCAAATTGAAATATCCCAAATACATCAAAATATAAAATCACTTAAAACATAAATTGAATACATCAACTGACTCCACAATACATCAACTGACACATGACATAACAGAAATATAAAAACCTGACATCCTGGGATCCTTTGCGACGGTATGTAAATTGTCTTTCTGCTATCACGCTCTAGCAGTTTCTCCTTAAAAGCATTCCCAAAAGTAGAGTGACCAAACGCTCATCTGGTAACAAACATTTATCATAAATTCATGAAATAATTAAAAACATGACATTAAGCATGTACTTAAAACAAATAAAAGATCATATTAGACATTTGGTAGGTACATGCTGTATAATATTTTCATAGTCAATTTTCATGAACTTTTTCCTTAAATTTTTTTTTTCTTTTTCATAAACTTTTACTTTCTTTATAGCCTTTCATTAAATGCATAAAATACATAATTATAATATAAAACACCTGTCCCGAAAGTACCAGAATTTTGTATTGATCAGGTACACAGTCAAGTTTTGACCATTCATTTACCAATTGGCTCCGAAGGACCCCTTTACCATTGGCTTGGTAGAGCCCATTTACCATTGGCTCCGAAGAGCTCCTTTATCATTTGATACTCTAGATCATTATGCACATGCAAATCATAATATATATCATAGGGTTTAATTCAATCAAAGATTCATATAAATTGCCTAAACTGTTTCATGCTTGAATGATCTCATGTCTACTTAAATTTCAATTCAAGGTCAAACTGTATAATTTTTGCTATTTATACATAAATGAAATTAACATTTGAAGGTTGCATAAAAAAAGATTTATAACTACACATCTGTTTTATTTAACATAAAAGAAAATTTAACATGAATTTAATTTAAATACTAGTACCTGCCTCGCAATGGCAAAACAACATCTACGACGTACGACGTCGCTTAGACACAAGTCGTCCATTTATGATTAAAATCTAAAATTACACATAAAGCCAATATCAACTTTACATTTCTTAATCTTTATACAATCCTAATTTGCTTAAATTCTTAATTGATTAATATTAGACCTTCATAATACTTAATTAAAATTAATTAAAAATTATTTTAAAATTCTCGGATTTATTAAACAAAAAAACTATGAAAATAAAACTTTATGAGGAAAACTTAATTTCCACCCTTAGAAACCCTCTTGGGACCCTTAGCAACAAAAGTTACAAAAGCACTTTAAAAAATTTCAACTTTTTAGGAAAAATTCTAACTTTTGAAATAAAAAAAAATTCATAAAAACTAAATTGAATTCAATAAATATCTTCCTAATACCATTATAAAATATCTTTGTGAAGGAATTTTGAAAGAAAAATAATTTTGGAGAAAACCCTAATTTTTAGATTTCAAGAAATCTCAGAAGAAACTTTGAATTCTAGGTTTATAACTTACCTAGCCTTTTAATAAAAGAAAATTTAACATGAATTTAATTTAAATACTAGTACCTGCCTCACAATTGCAAAACAACATCTACGACGTACGACGCCGCTTAGACACAAGTCGTCCCTTTTTGATCAAAATCTAAAATTACACATAAAGCCAATATCAACTTTACATTTCTTAATCTTTATACAATCCTAATTTGCTTAAATTCTTAATTGATTAATATTAGACCTTCATACTACTTAATTAAAATTAATTAAAAATTAATTTAAAATTAATTTAAAATTCTCGGATTTATTAAACAGAAAAACTATGAAAATAAAACTTTGTGAGGAAAACTTAATTTCCACCCTTAGAAACCTTCTTGGGACCCTTAGCAACAAAAGTTATGAAAGCACTTTAAAAAATTTCAATTTTTTTGGAAAAATTCTAACTTTCGAAATTCTAACTTTCGAAATTAAAAAAAAAAACTCATAAAAACTAAGTTGAATTCAATAAATATCTTCCTAATACCATTATAAAACATATTTGTGAAGGTATTTTGAAAGAAAAATAATTTTGGAGAAAACCCTAATTTTTAGATTTCAAGAAATCTCAAAGGAAACTTTGAATTATAGGTTTATAACTTACCTAGCTTGTCTTAAGTCTCCTCCCTTAATTTTTCCTCTAAGAATCTTGCCGGAAAACGCTTCCACCGCCTGCCATGAAATCCCCCAATCGCCTCTTTCGTCCGCGTCCTCCCTTTTGTTCGGCTGAACAAAAGAATCGCACGAATGGGGGAATGGCTTCAGCCTCTTTATAATTTAGGGAGTTAGGGATTTTTTTAAAATTTCTTATTTGCCCTCACAAGTCTTATTTCGATTTAATATTTATTAAGGGTAGTTTAGGAATAATAAAACTTCTAACATTCTTAACTTTCAATTTAAGCGAAATTCAATATATGTTCTTTATATCAATTTGTTCGAAATTTTGCGTAGAATTTTATAAAATTAATTTTGTCAAATTCCAACGACTTTGAAATTTTACTTAAATTTCTTAGCGACGTATTGAGAATTCGTGCAACGCTTTGGATTGCCTATTTCGGTTTTTACAAAAAACCCAAGAGATAATAGTCCAATGTTGGGAACCTTGGGTCTTCCATTAATTGATATTGCACAGTCTAGGGATGGATGCAGACAAAGAGAAATATGGCGAGAAGAAATTATTCTTTTTCACTTCTTCCAAATAGTTGGATCATGAGGCTGGTATTAAAATGGCTAGTCCCATTGTCCACTAAATGTGTTATAGCAGTCAGGTGAGCAACTCATTTAGTTTCTTTTGGTTGCCTCTTTTCAAGCTTGACCGTTTCATTGCAATATGTAGGAGAAACATCAAGGTGATGGAGCTTGTTGTGAGAATGAAAAATGAAGTAAAGATTCTCAACCATAGGTGATGATATGTGCCATTAAATTTGATGATGATATAGATGATAGAGGAAAGTATTGAGAGGAGGTTGAGATGCCATGGCATTGTGTATGAGAGAGAGTTGAAGAATACAAGAGTTAGATAATAGAGGATGAGGGATGTTTAATGTAGCAAGTGGTTGGATGATAGTGGCAGTGACATTTTTTTTTTTCCGGGGAGCCTGAACATGAGTTAGGTGAGTGCGTGTCAAGGAGGAGCTGGCATGTCTAGGATCACTTGCTGACAGGAGAAGTGAGAGGGAGATTGCATGGGATGCCGGGTAGATGTGGTGAGGCTAGGTGAAACTGACCCTGCTGACCTCTTTATTTATAATAGAGGAATAAATACAATATTTAAAGCATAATCAAATAAATACACCACTCACTAAGTGAGGGAGAGGGGCCTGTTGAGTGTGATGTGGGGCAAGTGCACGGTGGGGCTAGGTGGGTTGGAAACAAGTATAATCTCTTAACTGCAATCAAATAAATACAGCACTTCTAAATATCGAGTGCTTACCTAATATGATATTTTTCTATGCTATCCTAGTTAGCTATCATTTGATACTAATGATTTGGTCTATTGATAACAATTTTTGCTTGGCTAGTCACAACAGTCTAATTATATGTGATAAATGCTTTACAGACTAATGAGCTTTTCCTCAAGTTGACGCGACTTTTGCTAAATTTGCACTGTTTTACTGATGGTTTAGCTTATTGGCAGAAAGCTTGGTTCCATTTACTGTTACTCTAGCAAAATGCAATAATTTCTTCTGTTTCTACACCTTGAGAAGAAAAGTGTGCACATATTGTTAAATACCACACTACTGTTAGTATGTCAATGACTATAATATGAGATAAACCTGTTGTTTTAATTTTCAATTTTATGTTAGACGAAAAATTAGTAATTGACACTTCAAGGTGCTTTATTTTATTATTTTGTAGGATTTTAATCATTTTAACATGTTTGAATACACTGAATGCGCCACTAATCATTCTACACAAGATAACAAGCCCCTTTTTTTCCTTTTAATTCGAGCTTGCAACATATGAGTTACTATGTGCTCAACAGATCTATCTACCTCATATTTCATTTAAGTATGTTCCCTTTTATTGTTTTCCTATGGTAATTTGTAGGTGTTGATTGTTGGCGTGATCATTGGAAACAGTGTGTTTGGTTCATTCCCGGTGAAGGGATTTCTGTATCCAGGGATACAAATATTCTCTTCAAAGCTGTTCATGATGTTACCAATATTTCATATTTTCTCGGAGGTGATAAAAATATGACCTACAGTTCGTTCAATTCTCATGATTCTCATCTTTGTCTATCACCAGAACGTATTGGAATTTATGGAGAAAAGGATATTAGATCTGCATTTCAGATAGCGGTTAAGAATGCTGTGAGTGTGGCTATTTAGTCAAGCATTAAGTATTGATCTTTGTTTATTTTTGAATTATTTCTTTTACCAAAATGTTGCCAATTGGTATTGTTAACTCAGATAGTGAAAACCTCCTAGCTAATAGTAGACAAGAATGGCACGATGGCTAGGAAAGATTTAAAAAATACAGATTAGATATATAAAGGATAATATGTCAGCCCCCAACCCGCGATTTCCTTTTACTACAAGAAAGATTACATCACCTTTTCTTGCGTGGGAAAGGTGTTTATCATGATCATATTATTATTATCATGCCGATGTTGGATGTACTGGGGTTTAAAGTTTCTTAATGCATATTAAGAATGTGATGCACTAAATCATGCACATTAGATCATATTTGTGGTCCATGAACTTTTAATTTGGACAAATATTTGCCTCTTTTAATGAATACTATAAAATTTATCCCAAATAATAATTTATGGGTTAAACACTGAAACCGTCCTTCATTCGCATGGGGCCAATTTAATATGCAGTGTCCCATATCTTCAATTTACATCCCAACAATGCAAATTTGATTCAATATGGTCCTTCAGAGGCTAAATTAGGATAAATTTTGTTTTATTGAGGGACTAAATTGGGATCAATTTTGTTTCACAATTCTATAGGGATCATTTTGGGTCAATTTTGTATAGTCAAGAAACTAAATTGGAGAAATGTGATACTTTGAGGCTAAATTGGTCATACATTAATAGTTGGAGGACTATTTTGGGATTTGATCTAATAATTGAATGATCATCTATTTGGAAATTCTATGAGAAATTTTCAATCTAAAGAAAATCATACTTAGAATAAACTTTCACTGCATTAAAGAACCCAGATTATACATGATTTGCCCAAATTTTATCACATTCAAATTGTTAGGATCTACTTGAAGAACTCAGGTAAACTCTAACAAAAGAGACAAAAATAGCAAGAACAATCCACAAATTTGATTGGAAAACAAGCAAAACGTTAGTTTTTTATTGAAGAAATCAAACTAACGGAAGAAATAAAAGCAAGATAGAATTGATCCTCAATTCGAGAGGATGATTGATCTCTCCCAATCCCTAGACTCCGCTAAAGCCCAAGTCACCAATCTCCAAGAACAAAACAACCATAATAATCATGCATAACCCTAACCCTAAACATCTCTTCCTATTTAATACATTAATTCAAATACCTAATTCAAAATTTCCCTCCAACCCTAGTTGCCCCCTCCTTAATGGATTTCCTAGTGGGGTCCACTAAAAGCTTGGGCAGCAATTCATAGGGGACAGACATGTTTGGTTCGCCTCTTGTATTAGCTGGTTCAGTTATGTGAGAACAGTCTTAACAATACTGTCCTCCCAAAGAATCAGATTTGTCTCAAGGTGAAAGGAGAGAAATTGATGCTTCATCCTCTCATAAGGCTTCCATATCACCTCATAATCTGGAAGGTCCTTCCACTAGATCAACATCTTATTTACCCCTCCTCCTCCCTGAAGTACCCCTTATAACTCAAGGGGTTCCAATATCACCTCCAAGTTATCTGTCAACGTCACTTGTAGCTTAGAACTGGTTGCATGATCCCCAATTTCCCTCCTTAGATGTGATACGTGGAAAACAAGATGTATGGTTGTTGTCGATGGCAATTTCAGCCAGTATACCACTACTCCAATCTTCTCTAACACCTCAAAGGGCCCAAAATATATGGGTGCAAGTTTCTCATTCCTCCTATTGGCGACAGTCTTCTGCCTGTAAGGTCGGAGCTTTAAAAACACGATTTCCTCTATCTCAAATTGGGTGTCCCTCCTATGTCCATCTACCTATTTCTTCATAATTTGTTGGGCCCTTAGTAGATGCCTCTTTAATTTTTTTAACACCCGGTCCCTCTCCTTCAAATACTCTACTGAAGAAACTGTGATGCTATTATGCCTAAAATGCACTAGGTGAGGAGGGTCCCTTCCGTGCAGTAATTTGAATGGGATCATCTAGGAAGCAGAATGATATGAAGTGTTGTACAAATACTCTGCTCATGCCATCCACTTGGCCCACAGCTTGGGTGTCTCCGACTTAAAGCATCGTAGGTATGTTTCCAAGCTCCTATTGACCACCTCTATCTATCCATTTGTCTGGGGTGGTGGGTGGTGCTGCTCTTCAATATTGTCCCTTGTAGTTTAAATAACTCTCTCCAAAAGTGGTTGAGGAACACCTTATCTTGGTTTGATAATATAATCTCCAGTATCCCGTGTAATCGGACCACATCCCTAATAAAGACTGATGCCACTGTCACGGTTGTGTAGGGATGTCGTAGGGGAATGAACTGAGCATACTTGCTCAATCTATCCGCTACCACCAAGATCACGGTAAACTCTTTTGATCAGGGTAATCCATCTATGAATTATATAGATACCTCCCACACCTGACTTGGTAAAGTTAAAAGCTATAGTAATCCTCCTGGAGACATGGTCATATACTTGTTCCTCTGACATATCACACATCTGGCTACCATCTCCTTCGCATCCTCGTGCATCCCCTTCCAATACAACTCTTAGGCAAGTCTCTTGTACGTCTTTTGCACCACTGAATGACCCCCAACAACGCTCCCATGAAACTCTTGGAGTAGGTATGGAATATGGATTGATGTCCTATGCATCAAAAATCTCCCTTGGTATAGAAGCCTCTCCCCTTTTAGAGAATATCCTAGGTGGCTACTCTTCTCATTCAATAAATCAGCCCTAATCCTTCCCAACTCCTCATCCTGCACACTTTTCTCCTTAATGGCCTCCCAATCCAGCATCAATGGGATTGACACTGCTATCACCTATATCTCCCCCATACATCTGGACAATATATTTGTCATCTTGTTCTCCATTCTTGTCCTATACCAAATTTCAAAATCATACCCCAACAACTTTGACAACCATCTCTGGTGCTCCTTAGTCACCATCCTCTGCTCCAACAAATACTTCAGGCTCTGCTGATCTATCCTGACGATGAAATGCAAGCCTAGCAAGTAGGTCTCCACTTCTGGATGGCGAATACAATGGACATCAGTTCCCTCATAGTCTCATTTTAGCCAGGCCTTAGCTATCAATACCTGTCTGAAATTGGCTATGGGTTGACGGCTCTGCATGAGTACTGCTCCCAATGTATACCCTAAGGCACTTGTCAGCACTATGTAGACCTGAGTGAAGTTTGGTAGGGCAAAATTAGTACAGTGATCATGCCCTTCTTCAAGCTCTCAAAAACTATTGTGGCTGCCTCCTCTCATAAGAAACCATCCATCTTTAACTTTTTCATCAATGGCCATGCGATGGTGTTGTACCAAAAACCTCTTGTAGTATCCTATTAGTCCTAGAAATCCCCTCAACTCTTTAAGATACTTGGGCACTAGCCATTATAATATAGCTTCAATTTTAGCCTAATCTTCCGCCACCCCTCAGAGACAATATGCCCCAAGTACTCCATGCTAGCCTGGGCAAAACAACATTCTTCAAATTGGCCCTTAGTTGGTATTTTTTGTAACACCTATAACACCCTCATTAAGTGCTCCCAGTGCTCCTCCTCTGACCTACTGTAAATCAGTATATTATAAAAAAACACCAACACAAATTGCTTAAGATAGGGTCTGAAGACCTTGTTCATGAGGGTCTGGAAAGTGGCTGGAGTGTTAGTGAGGCCAAAAGGCATCACTAGAAACACATAATACAATTCATGAATTCTGAAAGAAGTTTTTGGCACATCCTCCATTTTCATCCAGATTTGATGGTATCCTGCCTTCAGATCTATTTTGGTGAAGATAACTGCCCCTCTCAACTCATCTAACATCTCATCTATCATTGGAATGGAAAACATGTCTGGAATAGTTTCATTATTCATTGCCTTATAATTTGTACAAAACCTCCAACTCTAATCTTTCTTTATAACCAGTAATACTAGGCTAGAAAAGGGCTAACATTTGGCATGATAATCCCTGCTTCAAGCATCTCTCTAATGAACTTGTCAATCTCATCCTTCTGAAATTGAGGATAGCGATAAGGCCGAACACTGATGGGTAACACTCCTTCCTTCAAGGTGATAGCATGCTCATGTTCCCTTGGTGGTGGCAATCCGTGAGGTGGCTGAAAAACCTCACTGAAATGTTGAATCAATGGATGTACTGAAAGAGGAACTTCCCCTCCTTCCTCCAATATGATCCCGTCCAACCTATGCAGTTCCAACAAATAACCTTCCCTCACCTCCTGTATACTCATCACCATGATTTTAAATAATACCATGGCTTTTGAGAGCCCTCCATCTCCTCTAATCACTATTCTCTCCCTTCGAACACCAACTTCATCATAAATGCACTCCAGTTGACCTTGGTGACTCTCAAGGTCTGCAACCACTTCATCCCCAGGATGATATCAGTGCTCTCTAACTCCAATGGGAGAAAATTCTCCCTCATCTGAACCCCATGTATGATCAACACTACTCTATAGATCCCCTTGCCCGTCTCCACCTTCCATGTTCCCATCATCACTCCAGAACATCCTGTATCCACCAATTTCACCGCCAATTGGTTCACTAGCTGGTTGGAGATGAAATTGTGGGTAGTCCCACTATCAATCAACACCAGCACCTCCATGTCTGTTATTTCCCCTTTCACTTTCATGGTATGATTCAAAGTGAATCCTACCACTGAGTTTAGGGATACCTTTTCCACATCCATATGCAGCTTGTCCTCCATCTCTCCTTTTACCTCAATCTCACCACCGTCGGGGATCACTGGAAAGCCGCACACTACCACCACCTCCTCTAAAAACATTAAATTGATGACAAATATTTATAAAAGATGAAGATGACTAAAATAAATGATGGAGAAGCAGATTTTGAGGCTTGAACTCCATAGGATGAGGCAGAAGAGAGACCAATTTATTATGATGATGACTCCAATAAAAACCCCCTCACTGATGACCATGCAGATGATTTATGAGTTGTTAACAATTATGTTAACTTTA